TGCCATGCAGCGTGTGTGCTCTATAGCGTTGTGGATCGAGTCCTCATTTGCATCCGAGTCCTGACCGAACTGATCTGGATCTTAAGCTCGAGCTGTCTGACCATATGGTAGCTGCCCCAGAGCTAATTGACAGCGGGACATGGCAGGAGGACGCGCCGCGGAACGTCCCAAGGGACGCGCCAGGCGACGTGCCAATGGACGTGCCATGAGGACGCACCGCGGGACCTGCCAAGGGGACGCGCTACGGAACGTGTCGGGAACAAGCGTTTCGCTCGAGACATCCTGCACAAATCCTCATGCTAGATATCCGCCTGGGCGACCTGGACGCGTGAACACAAGTGGTTCGCTCGAGACATCCACAACACATCTTCATGCTAGACATCCGCCTGGGTGACCTGGGCACGTGAAAACAAGCGTTTCGCTCGAGGCGTTCTCAACACCTCCTCATGCTAGGCATACGCCTGGGCGACCTGGACACCTGCAAGCAAGCGCCTCGCTCGAATCATCCTCAACACATCCTCATGCTGGACATCCGCCTGGGCGATCTGGACACCTGAAGCCGAACGTCTCGCTCGAGGCATCCTCAACACATCCTCATGCTGGACATCTGTCCGAAATATCTTCATGTTCGACATCCGCCTTGGCGACCTGGGCACGTGAAAACAAGCGTATCGCTCAAGACATTCTCGGCACATCGTCATGCTAGACATCCGCCTGGGCGACCTGGACATTTGAAAGAGCGTGTTCTACCGCTGCTGGCGGAAAACCGGGGGGGGTCACTACCGGTTCGAACCCCTCCCCCCCCCCCCCCCCCCCCCCTCCGGAAAACCGGGGGGGGTCACTACCGGTTCGAACCCCTCCCCCCCCCCCCCCAGCTCATCATGAAAAGGGGGGGGGGTCACTACCGGTTCGAACCCCCCCCCCCCTCGAAAACCGAGTGGGGGTGCGGACAGTGGTGGGGACGGTGTTGGTGGGGACAGTGGTGAGGGGACAGCGGGACAGTGGTGGGGACAGTGGGGGGACAGTGGGACAGTGGTGGGGACGGTAGTAGTGGTGGGGACAGTGGTGGGGACAATGGTGGGAACAGGGGGGACAGTGGACAGTGGTGGGAACGGTGGTGGTGGGGACAGTGGTGTGGGGACAGTGGGAATGAGGTGGAAACACTGGGACAGTGGAGGGTACAATGGTGGTGGGGACACTGGTAAAGGCGGTGGCGAGGACGGCGGTGGGACAATGGGACAGAGGTACAGTGGGGACAGTGGTGGGGACAGTGGGGACAGTGGTGGGAACAGTGGGACAGCTCAGTGGGACAGCGGAGGAGTCAGTGGGACAGTGGGGACAGTGGGGATAGTCGGGCAGTGGTTGGGGCCGTGGAGACAGTGGGGAGAGTGGAACCGTGGTGGGAACAGTTCTGGGGACAGCGGGGACAGTGCGACAGTGGTGGGGGCACTGGTGGGGACAGTAGGGGCGGTGGTGGAACCAGTGGGGACAGTGGTGGTGAGGACAGTGGTGCTGGGAACACCAGTGGGGGATGTGATGCGGACGGTGGTGGGGACCGGGAGTCGTTTGCTGGCGGTGAGTAGGGGGGGGGGGGGGGGGTCAACCGGTAGTGACCCCCCCCCCGGTTTTCCGGATCCGAAGGGGGGGGGGGGGGGGGGGGTTCGAACCGGTAGTGCCCCCCCGGTTTTCGAGGGGGAAGGGGGGGGGGGTTAGGGGAGGGGGGGGGTTTTGCCGGGAGGGGGGGGGGGGGAGGGGTTCCGGCAGGGGGGGGGGATTTTCGGAGGGGGGGGGGAGACCCCCGGGTTCCGGAGGAAAAGGTTGGCAATTTTCCACAGTAAAGCGGCGGTGGATCACGCTCTCTCGGACATTTGGAAACGAACGCTCTCTCGAAACATCCTCAACACAGCCTCATGCTAGGCATCCGCCTGGGCGGCCTTGGCACGTCAAAACAAGCGTTTCGTTCAACACATCCTCAACACGTCCTCATGTTAGACATCCGCCTCGGCGATCTGGACACGTGAAACCAAGCGTCTCGCTCGAGGCATCCTCAACACATCTTCATGTTAGACACCAGCCTGGGCGATCTGGACACGTGAAAACAAGCGTATCGCTCGAGACATTCTCGGCACATCGTCATACTAGACATCCGCCTTGGCGACCTGGGCACTTGAAAACGAGCATTTCACAGCAAATCCTCAACACATCCTCATGCTAGACATCCGCCTGGGCGACCTGGACAAGCGAAAACAAGCGTCTCTCTCGAAAGAGAGATAGATCCTCAACACATCCTCATGCTAGACATCCGCCTGGGCGACCTGGACACGTGAAAACAAGCGTCTCGCTCGAAACATCTTCCGAAGATCTTCATGTTCGACATCCGCCTTGGCGACCTGGGCATGTGAAAACAAGCGTATCGCTCAAGACATTCTCGGCACATCGTCATGCTAGACATCCGCCTGGGCGACCTGGACATTTGGAAACGAACGCTCTCTCGAAACATCCTCAACACAGCCTCATGCTAGGCATCCGCCTGGGCGGCCTGGGCACGTCAAAACAAGCGTCTCGCTCAACACATCCTCAACACATCCTCATGTTAGACATCCGCCTCGGCGATCTGGACACGTGAAACCAAGCGTCTCGCTCGAGGCATCCTCAACACATCTTCATGTTAGACACCAGCCTGGGCGATCTGGACACGTGAAAACAAGCGTATCGCTCAAGACGTTCTCGGCACATCGTCATACTAGACATCCGCCTTGGCGACCTGGGCACTTGAAAACGAGCATTTCACAGCAAATCCTCAACACATCCTCATGCTAGACATCCGCCTGGGCGACCTGGACAAGCGAAAACAAGCGTCTCTCTCGAAAGAGAGATAGATCCTCAACACATCCTCATGCTAGACATCCGCCTGGGCGACCTGGACACGTGAAAACAAGCGTCTCGCTCAACACATCCTCAACACTTCTCATGCTCGACATCCGCCTGGGCGACCTGGACACGTGAAAGCAAGCGTCTCGCTCAAGACATCCTCAACACACCTTCACGATAGACATCCACCTGGGCGACCTGGTCACGTGAAAATAAGCGCTTCGCTCGAGACCTTCTCAACACCTCCGGATTCGGGCGTTGGCGGGACCGGGTTTAGTGGGACCTGGTTTAGTGATGTGTACCGGGGGGCGCCACCCCCGTCCCATTCCACTAGCCGGAATTGCCGTAACCCGAAAAGCATCAGCTACAGCAGACCTGGTTTAGTGATTCCGATCTATATTTTGAGCTTCGGGGACCAATCACTAACCGGCTCCCCTTAACCGGGGTCCTGGCTATACCCGACTCAAGCTAGACATACGCCTGGGCGACCTGGACACGTGAGATAAAGCGTCTCTCGAGAGACATCCTTAAGACCTGGGCACGTGAAAACAAGCATTTCACCTGAGACATCCTCTGAATTCTGGTCCCCCATTTGCTCAACACACCCTGAACGCATCATCGTGCTAGACATCCGCCTGGCCTACCTGGACACGTGAAAACAAGCGTCTCTCTCGAGACATCCTCAACGAATCCTCATGCTAGACATCTGCCTGGACGACCTGGACGCGTGAAAACAAGTGTCTCGCTCGAAACATCCTAAACAAATCCTCATCATAGACGTCTGCCTGGGCAACCTGGAAGCGTGAAACCAAGCGTCTCGCTCGAGACATCCTCAAGACCTGGGCACGTGAAAACAAGCATTTCACATGAGACATCCTCTGAATTCTGGTCCCCAATTTGAGGACAATCTGCAACACAAAACAAGCGCGTCGCTCGAGACAACCTCAACAAGTTCTGAAGAACAAGCGTTTCGCTCGGGACATCCTCAGAAATAATGTCGCTGGGCCTACGCGACTTCGTCATCTACCGCAAATAATTTCTCTGGCCCTACGCAAGTCGAGGCAGGGGGTAAACCTACTAAAAGAGAACCCTGGGCTCAGGCCCTTTCTGGGAAAAAACATGATCGACCCACGAACCCGGAAAGGAATATAGACATGTAAGGCATGGCAACGCTTCAAAGGCACCTGATTGGGCGACGGGCAAATGCAATGCTGAGTGTATCGAGCTTGATGTACCGTGCCGAGGGCTGTGCTGTGCTGCACCGTGCTGAATTGCGATGTGCCATGCCGCGATTGTGCTCTATAGCGTTGTGGATCGAGTCCTCCTTTGCATCCGAGTCCGGACCGAACTGATCTGGATCTTAGGCTCGAGCTGCCTGACCACAAAGTAGCTGCCTCTGAGCTAGTTGACACGGGGACATGCCAGGGGGACGATCAATGGAACGTCACAAGGGACGCGCCAAGGCGACGTGCCGGGGGACGTGCCATGGGGACGCACCACGGGACGTGCCAAGGGGACGCGCTACGGAACTCGCCAGTGGACGTGCCACGGACGTGCCAGGGGACGCGCCGCTCGACGTGCCAGGGGAACTCGCCACGGGACTCGCCACGGACAAGCATTTCACCTGAGACATCCTCTGAATTCAGGCCCCCAATTTGAGGACAATCTGCAACACAAAACAAGCGCTTCGCTCGAGACATCCTCAACAAATTCTGAAGAACGAGCGTTTCGCTCAGGACATCCTCAGAAATAGGTTCGCCGGCCCTGCGCGACCTCGTCATTCCCCGCAGATAATTTCGCTGGCCCTACGCAAGGCGAGGCAGGGGGGTAAACCTCCTGAAAGAGAAAACCCAGGGCTCATGGCCCTTTCTGGGGCCAGGCAGAGCGTCGGAGACCTGGGGGTCCCCGTTGGCTCCTCGGGCCAGCCAAGGCGGCGCCGCCTCTATGTGCGGCAGCCCCCCGCACCCCCGAGGCGCCTCGCACCTTTCACCACCCAGGCGAAGCCGAGCGGCAGACGTAGACAGAAACGCAGAGAGGAGGAGGAGGAGGAGGAGGAGGAGGAGGAGGAGGAGGAGAAGGAGGAAGAGGAGGAGGCGGGGGAGGGAGGAGGAGAAGGAGGAGGAAGGCGCCTCGCACATCTTCTTGGTGCGCAGCGCGAGCTCGGCGGCGGTGCCCGTGTCGCTACCGACCAGGATTGTCAGGGGCACGCCGGTGGTCGCCCCAACGTCCTCGGCTGCTCCGCCGCCCCGCTTGCCGCTTGCCCCTCTCCGCCTTCCCCTCCGCCCTCCAGTTACCAGCCTGGAACATATCCCTATCCCTATGCTGGGCACCTCCTCATCACGATGCCAGTCTTAGGGATTCCCTTATTTTTTGAGGGCGAATCCCTAAGATTGTCATCGCCTTTTGGCGTGTCAGTCTTAGGGATCGGGATACGCTCGAGGCTGGTAATCCAGGTCGACTGCGCGCAGGAGCGACCCCTAAGGCACAAGTGACACTTAGTGCGCGACTCTCGGGGGAAGCGCGGGGGGGGCAAACCTTGGCCGGCAGTGCCGGCACGCCGCTGCTGTCACCTCGCATCCAGCCACCCGTGGACCCCAGAGTAGACGAGCGCGCTCCACTACTCGCAAGGTAACTACTCGCAGATGGCCTAGATCCCCGCGGAGAATCTACGAGAAATTACACCAAAGCGGACAATTGGTTTTCGGACGTTTGCGAATAGGCACTTTGCGAGTAGCGGAACGCGCTCGGTGACAGAGGGCCCGCACCAACGGTCACTCTGGCGAAAGGTCACCCTTGCGCGTTGCCGGCCAGATCTCCGAAGACTTGCCGAGGTTTCCGGACGGTTTCGGGGCCTGGGGAGGTCTCCACCAGCTGCGCCACGTCGCGGCGTTCTGGGGTGTCCCGGATCGTCCCGAACGGATGCCGAAGACTCAAATTATGGTCCGAAACTTCCCTTTGAGATGAATTGGTCAATCTGGGCGTTCGTCCTCGAGTTCGGCCATCGGAGGCCACTTATCTGGCCCAGTGTCCATCCAAAACGGATCGTGGGCGAACATGATCGACCCACGAACCCGGAAAGGAATATAGACATGTAAGGCATGGCAACGCTTCAAAGGCACCTGATTGGGCGACGGGCAAATGCAATGCTGAGTGTATCGAGCTTGATGTACCGTGCCGAGGGCTGTGCTGTGCTGCACCGTGCTGAATTGCGATGTGCCATGCCGCGATTGTGCCCTAAAGCGTTGTGGATCGAATCCTCCTTTGCATCCGAGTCCTGGCCGAACGAATCTGGATTTTAAGCTCGAGCTGCCTGACCACATAGTAGCTGCCCCAGAGCTACTTGATAGGGGGACATGCCGGGAGGACGCGCCGCGGAACGTCCCAGGGGACGCGCCAGGCGACGTGCCGGGGGCTGTGCCATGGGGCCCCACCACGGAACGTGCCAAGGGGACGCGCTACGAAACGTGCCAATGGACGTGCCACGGGACGTGCCAGGGGACGCGCCGCGCGACGTGCCAGGGGGACTCGCCACGGGACGCGCCACGGAACGCGCCAAGTTGCAATGCTGAGTGTACCAATCTCGATGTACCATGCCAAGGGCTGTGCTGTGCTGCGCCGTGCTGAATTGCGATGTGCCATGCCGCTGTAGTGTTGTAGATCGAGTCCTCCTTTGCATCCGAGTCCTAACCGAACTGATCTGGATCTTAAGCTCAAGCTGCCTGGCCGCATAGTAGCTGCCCCAGAGCTAATTGAAAGGGGGACATGCCAGGAGGACGCGCCGCGGAACGTCCCAGGGGACGCGCCAGGCGACGTGCCGGGGGACGTGCCATGGGGACGCACCTCGAGACGTGCCAAGTGGACCCGCTACGGAACGTGCCAATGGACGTGCCACGGGACGTGCCAGGGTCCCATGTGACCAATGTGTTTTCAGGCTTGCCCCGCCGTGGGGCGTTAGGAACCCACGCTTTTTCACGTATCTCCCGCCCTGGGGCGTTCAGAACCCATGTGTTTTCATGTTTCTCCCGCCCAGGGGCGTTAGGAACCCATGTGTTTTCGCGCTTGCTCCGCCCTGGGGCGTTAGGAGCAATGTGTTTTCACACTTGTCCCGGTCTGTGCGTTTGGAACCGATGTGTTTTCACGCTTCTCGAGCCTCCTGGGGCCTCCTGGGGGGCGGGGGAGCGAAAAGCGCTACTCAAACACAAACCCAATGCAGAAAAAAACATCCTGGGGCCTCCTGGGCCTCCTGGGCCTCCTGGGGGCGGGGGGGGGCAAAAGCGCCCCCCGAATACATATATATATATATGTATATATATATATATATTTGTATATATATATATATATATATATATACATATATACATATATATATATATATATATATATATATATACCATACATATATATATACATATATATATATATATATATATATATCCCAATGCAAAACTGTGCCTCCTGGAGCCTCCTGGGGCTGGGGCCTCCTGGGGCGCTAGGAACCTATGTGCTTTCACACTTGTCCCGCCCTGGGGCATTAGGAACCATGTGTTTTCACGCCCGCCCTGGGGCGTTAGGAACCATGTGTTTTCACGCTTCTCGAGCCTCCTTGGGCGTCCTGGGGGGCGGGAGGAACTCAATGCAGACCATTCGTAAAACAAGAAATTCGCCTGAGACATCCTCTGAATTCTGGCCCCCAAGAGAGGAACAAACTATAACACCAAACAAGCCTTTCGCTCGAGACATCCTCACCAAATTATGGACAACCAAAAAAACGTGTCGTTCGGGACATCCTGAAACATAAAACAATATATAACACAAAACAAACGTTTCCTTCGAGACGTCCTCAACAAATTCGGGAAAAAAACACACACCAAAAAAACGTTTCGCTCGGGACATCCGCAAACATACTTTCGCCTGCCCTCTTCCCGCCTCGTTATTTACCGCAGAATACTTCCGCTGGCCTCTTCCCGTCGGGTCCGGGGGGAAACGCCTACAAGAGAACCCTGGGCGTAAGCCCTTTCGGGGAAAAACTGGACCCGGGGAAGGGATCGGGTCCTCTTGGGGCCACGCATTGCAAACATCACTGAAGGGGCCCAGGGACACATAAATACATACACACAAATAAAAAGATGCCCCATATTTTCCGATATGTTCTGGGTTTATTGTCTTCCCCACCACTTCCCATATTTTCCCATTTTCTCTGGGGAGTCCACGATGACTTGTGTCTGTGTGTTTCTTTCCCTTCTTGAGTCACGCCGCCAGCTGCCCAGGCACTGCAGAAGAGCGAGCTGCAGAAGCGCAAACTTTTTCGGAGGCCCACGCCTCCGGGGGGAGGGTGCCCACGCCTTCGTGGAGGAACACACCCACTCCCAGGGGGGGGGGCAAGGCAGGGGGGGAGCTTCGACGAAGGAGCAGGGAGAAGGAGGAGGAGGAGGAGGGGGAGGAGGAGGAGGAGGAGGAGGACGAGGATGAAAACGAGGACGAGGACGAGGAGGAGGAGGAGGAGGAGGAGGGATTGCAAAGACGGAGAACATCATAAACCCGCGCGGGCCTCCGAAATTATATGCTGATGCCGATGGTTGTTCCTCGGCTCCCTCGCCTCCCGCCCCTCCCGTCCCGATGCCCCCTTTCCCCTTCTTCGTCCTCTCCCATCCCTCCCGCTGGTAGTAGGGCGCCGGCTAGCCCCCGCTGCGCACGCATGGCCCCCTCAGACAGTCCCGGCTGGCCCCAGGGCTGAGGCGTTGAAACCGCCCTGGACTACTCGGGGGGCCTCTGGAGGCCAGCCGGGACTGCCCCAAGGGGGCTGCACGTGCGCAGCCCGAGGCCTCGCCGCCCGCTGGCGCCCGACGCTCTCGGCGCTCGGGGAAGCCGCCGGCCTCGGCCGATTGCTCCCGCCCTGTCTCTCCCCCCTCCGCCTCCGCCCTGCCCCTCCCTCCCCCTTGGCTTCGCGCCTCGCTCGCTCGCTCTCGCTCTCTCTCTGTCTCTCTCTCTCTCTCTCTCTCTCTTTTTCCGTCCACCCGAGGCCTCGCTTCCCCTCCCCCGTCCTCTCCTAGCCCACCCCCCCTACGCAGAAGGCATCCATACACCACCACCGTGCCAGGCCAGGGCCATCTTGGCCCTGGCATGTGGTATACGCCATCCTGGCCGACGCCAGGAGGGTCTATACACCATCCTGGAACCCAGGATGGCCCTGGCACGGCACGGTGGTGGTGTATGGATGCCTTCGTCGGACCCCCATTTCCCTCTCGTGGCCGCCCGCGGCGGCAGCAGGCTCGAGCGCCGAGCGCGCGGACCGCGAAGCCGAAGCCGACCGAGGCCGCCAGGCAGCCCCGCAGGGCCCAGCCCGGCCGGCGGCCGCACGGCCATCGACTGCGACTCGGCCGTACGCCGAACCGATCGCACCGAAGGGGCCCCAGGACACACAGATAGATACACACAACTAGAAGGATTCCCCATATTTTCCCCTATGTTCTGTGTTTTCGTCCTCCCCCCCAACTTCCCATACTTTCCCATACTTTCTGGGGAATCGAGGATGAGTTGTGTCTGTGTGTGTGATTCTTCCCTCCTGACGCACCGCGAACACCCGTGCCTCCCACTGCCCCCCCCCCCCGGCTTCCTCGCCGGCCGCCATCCGCGTGAACTTGTCGTGCCGGCGCTGCACGAACTCCTGGAGGGCGCCCTTCATCTGCTCCGCGGCCTCGCGAGGGGGCAAGGATCGGGAGGGGGCTGGCGCAGGGGGGGGGGTCGAGGGAGCATCGAGCTTGCATCGGCGATGTATCGCCGACGGATCGGCGATGCAGTCGGGGCGTTGACCTAAGGAACCCTAAATAAGGAACGAGGCCCCTTTTTTTCCAAAAGTTAAACTTCGATCTACCATTGAAAACCTAAGGAAAACCCAAGGCAAACTGTAAACAATCAAGGAACACCGAGCCCCTCCCCAACGAACAGGGCTCCTTCTTCAGCGCCCCGACTGTAGGCCTCCGACAGCCAAGCCGCACGCCTCTGGGAAGGGCGGGCCATCGAGGCCCCTCTCGGCGATCGATGGGCCAGCGGCGGTCGATGCGTGCGCCCCCTGGCTCTCGGGCCAACGCTCGGGCCTCTGGCGGCCGCTCGGGGCGACCTGGGCCTCCCGGGAGCGCCCTGGGCGAGGCGCAGCTGCTGGACCGCGGCCGGAAGACCGCCGAGGATCGACGAGGACGCCCGAAGACCTCGAGCCTCGAGGAACAAAAGCGCGGGTGACGATCTCGGGCCCCAGAGCGCAGGCCTGCCTGCACAGCTGCGCGGATGGAGCAACACGACATCACAGCAACGGAACTGGGCCGTGAAAGCCACCAAGAATCCCACCGGCCCTCTGGGCGTCGGTGGTTTGGGGAGTTTCCTCGTCCATCCTTCCTGCTTCCCCTTTCGGGGAGGGCTTTACCCCCGAACGCTGCCCCCGACCCAGGGTCGTGAATCGATTACTGTTGTGGATGCCACGACAATGGGCACCCTGACAGTCTTATCTATCATTGATTTTTAAGTGTGTTAAACATGTAGGGAAAATGTTCTAACCATGTTTGAAACATGTTTGAAGCATGATTAACACATGTTTTAGACATCTGGGAAAATTTGGCAACATGCTTCCTCTCCATTGATCGCCCTCCACAAGATTACTGGACCTCCTTGGGTGCGTTCTGCCCAAGCCGAGGGTCAACAAGAGCGCCGGACCAGGCCGTGGCCACAAGGGCGCCCCAGGACGGCCGAAAGCTCCAGAGGGCGAACCCGATCCTCGAGCCTCGAGCCTCGAGCCTCTATCGCTGCCCCCGACCTCGGGGTTGGTGCGGGTGAGGGTCATGAAGCGGTTCTCCGTGGAGGTGAACTCCTCGACGGTCCGCGTCAGGCGCTTGCTGTCGAGCCGGAAGGGGTTCTCGCCCTTGAGTCTGAGGGCGGGGTTGTAGCGATAGAGCGTCCAGTAGCCCGCTTCAACGGCCTCACCGTGCGCCAGCGGAGGGGCAGATGGGCAGATGGACTCCCTCCCTCCCTCCCTCCCTCCCCCCTCCATCCTTTTTCCTTCTGACTAACCCCTCCCTGCCGCACCCCCAGACGTGTTGGTAGGGTGGGCCAGGCGTTTCGCCTGAGATTTCTTCGCCATTTCTGACCCTGACGCATGAAATTTGAAACAGCTTCACGGTTGGAGAGCGGGTGGTATTCAAAACGTGGCTCTCGCCTTCGCGCCGCGCACATTCGTCTCAAAGTCTGCAGCAGCTTCACGGATGGAGGGCGGGTCAGATTTAAAATGTGGTTCTCGCCTTCGCGCCGCACATATTCGTCTTAAAAGTTCACATAAGTTTTAAACATACCTATAACGTCGGAGTCCGAGGTATTGTGCTCTGGCACGATTTAGGACTGCCAGGACGCAGCGGTCACATTGGTTCTCGGTGTTGACGTCCCAGGCAAGGTGTTCCCGCACCATTTAGAAACGTCAGGACGCAACAGTCACGTCGGCCCGAGACGTTGAAGTCGCAGGAACGGTGTGTTGGCACAATGGGGGGTTCTCAGAGGACTGGGAACTTGGAAGAAGGGTTCACTGCAACATCGTTGGTGCATCTTGGGTTTAAACTGGTCCTCCTCCTCCCCCCCTCCTCCTTCTCCGCCTCCTCCCTCCGATTCTGGCTGAGAAGCGTTTGGTCACCAGACGCCCCTTCATCGCTCGGGACATCCTTCTCCTCGTGCTTCTGCTCCTGGCCCCCCTCCTCTCATCCGTCATGCCTCGTCCTCGTCCTCGTCCTCGTCCTCGTCCTCCTCCTCCTCCTTCTCCTCCTCCTCCTCCTCCTCCTCCTCCTCCTCCTCCTCCTCCTCCTCCTCCTCCTCTCCGTCTCTCCTCCATCCCTTCATCCCTCTCTTCTCTGCTACTCCCCTCCTCCTCCTGCTCCCTCTCCTCCCTCGGGTACCGAGCAGGCCTCCTGCATGACGCTCTCTAGGTGCGACAGCCCGCGAGGAAAGAGGATCTTGTGCTCGATGCAGGGCGAGTAAGCCAGCAGCATGGACCGGGCAGTGCCAAGGGGGGGGGTCCCACCAGGGGGGCCGCCACCTCCTCGAGGGAATGAGGCCCTCGGGACGATCTGGAGCCCCCCCCAACCAAGCCCAAACCTCCCAACCAAAACTCCTCGAGCTCGGATCCAGGAACCTCGATCCCAGACATCCGACGTCGTGATAATTATTTCACAACGTAGAACCTCGGAGGTTCAGACCACTTCCCTGGACTGGCTTTCCGCCACGAGACGTTCTTGACGGTCCCAGGGCCTGGTCAGGGCCCCGGGAAGTGCCTGCTTCCATGACGCGAGAGGGTGAGGAATCCTCAGGAGGAACTGGTCCCTGGTGGCGACCCCTTTGGCACTGACCGGATGGACGGCCCGTTGAAAGCCTCCGCCTCCAGGAAGGACTTCACGCACTGCCCGTAGTCCGCGCCGATGGCCATGGAGCCCACGTAGACGTGCTCGTAGCTCATCGCGATGGCTCCGAGGTCCTTCGCCAGGGGCGGGGAGAGCAGCAGGAGGAGAGCCAGAAGCAGGAAAGGTCAGGGCTCCGGGTGCACAGACAGCCCCCGGCTGGCCTCAGTGGGTCCCCCGAGTGGCCGCGGCTGGCCGCAGTGGGTCCCCCGAGTGGCCCCAGCTGGCCTCAGCGTGCCCCCAGAGTGGGTCCTGGGCGGTCTCCGCACCAGGGCGCCGCCTCCAGCGGCGCCCCCTGGGGCGCCTGGCTCCGCGCCCCAGGGGCCGGGGCGTGCGGACCGCCTCGGGCTTCTCGAGGGGCCTGCTGAGGCCAGCTGGAACATGCCTGGGGCGGGCTGCCTGTGCGCAGCGCGAGGCCTGACCCAGCGGAGCATCGGCAGGGGGAGGAGCAGGAGCAGGAGGCCCGGCTCTCCGACGACGTGATCGTGTCGAGCCGGGTGTCTCTCCTCGTCGTCGGCTTCTGGGGCCCGCCGTCAGGCCCCGGGCCATCAAAAACAAGCCTGGGGCGATGGACTGCCCCCGGGGGAAGGGGTCGGGACCTCTGGGGCAGCGGACTGGAAAGGACACAGCGGCGGATGTGAGGGAGAGCGGGAGCGGGAGCAGCGGGAGCAGGAACTGGAGCTGGAGAACGGCGGGGGCAGGAGGATACGAGTGATGATGATGACGACGAGGATGCGAATGATGATGGTGAGTAAGGTGATGGTGGTGATGATGTTGAAGATGGAGATGGAGATGAAGATGGAGATGGTGGTGATGGCGATGGTGAAGGTGAAGGTGTTGGCGATAATGATGGTGATGGTGATGGTGATGGTGACGGTGGCGGTGATGATGGCGCAGACGATAGTGGAGATCATTGGTATGCTTGCGACAGCGATGGTGCTGATGATGATGATGATGATGGTGGTGATGACGATGATGATGATGCTGATCATGATGATACTAATGATACTGGTGGTGATGATGATGTTGACGACGACACTGGTGGCAATGACGATGATGATCCTGGTGGTGATGATGATGATGGTGGTGGTGATGGTGATAACGATGCCGATGGTGGTGATGGTGAGTATAATGATGATGACGACGATGATGACAATGACGGTAACGATGACGATGACGATGACGATGATGATGATGATGGTGATGCTGATGATGGGGATGATGATGCTGATGATAATGATGATGATGATGATGATGATCACATTGGTGGTGATGGTGATGCTGATGCTGATGCTGATGATCATGATGATGGTGGTGACGATGGTGACTGTGATGATGGCGTACATGATGATGGTGATGCTGGCGATGGATATGATGTTGGTGATGATGAATACGATGATGATGATGATGACGACGATGATGATGATGCTGCTGATGATGACGACCACGACGACGACACTGTTGGCGATGACGATGATGATGATGATGACGATGATGGTGATGATGATGGTGGTGGTGATGGTGATGACGATGACGACGACGATGATGACGATGTCGATAGCGATGACGATAGCGATGACGATGACGATGACGACGACGACGATGATGATGCTGCTCATGACGATGATGATGATGATTATTAAAAAGATGATGGTGGTGATATGATGATGCTGCTGCTGATGATGATGATGATGATGATGGTGACAATGATGGTGATGATGATGCTGGTGATGGTGATGGTGATGATTATTGCGATGATGGAGGAGGGAGGGGATAACGGTTCAGAATAATGAGGGTGATGGCACTGTCCTTCTTAGCCAGGCGGTAGCCCGCGGGCGCGAACTTCTGGACGCTGCCGTAGTTGGTGGCCTTGCTGACCTGACCGCCGGTGTTGCTGTAACCCTCGGTGTCCATGATCAGCACCTTAGAAGCACACGCCCAGACCAGGCTGATCCATGGCATCCTCCTTCCCCGCGATCGGGAACCTGGCATGCGTCCTCCTCCGCCTCCGGTTTTGTGGGAAAGGCGGGTTGATTCCCTCGGCGGCCTCAGCGAGGAGCGCCGACCCTGCGGCTCCCACCAAGTATGGGTTGGATATACCCGACGCCCTCCATGTGCATCTCGTGTCGCAAGTGCACGACTTTGCCGACCCCCCTGAAGCGGTTGAACTCTGTGGGGTGGAGAGGAGCCCAGAGCGAGAGGCCAAGCTGCAGAAGACCAGGAGCGATGGGCCTGTAGAGTCAGTAATTTCTCGGGCTTCGATGGGTTCGAGAGGCCTTTGTCTAAGCCCCCAATGGCCCAATGCCCCCCTCCTCCTTCCCCCCTCCTCAAACTCCTCCTGATCCGAATCCTCCTCGTCATCCTTTCCTGTTGCCGCTGTTGGCTCAAGGCTGCGGTTCAAGGCAGTTGCGCAAACCAGCGCCCCGCCTCAGCGATGGCCGCTCTCACTACGGATGTGCATGCTAAATATCTGCAATGCCGCCGATGGGGCCTTATTAATAGCCAGGCGGCTCAGCGGTCGGAGCGTTGGACATCGCTCTCCACGTCAACGAGCACGTAACCTCGTGCAGCTTCGACAGATCATTCGCCGACGTCATGGCGGAAACTTGGCAGCAGAAATTCCTGGCCGACCATTCGGAGTGCAACGGTACAGCCTCGGACGTGCACCTTGGGATCGACGAGACCTCGCAGGCAGTGTTCAAGCTGTTTCGCTTCTCCCGGACTGACGCCGAGGACGGCGCCGAGAATAAGATCGAGCATCATCAGATGCCCAAGGTTGAGCTCCAAAGCGGTGATCGAGTGAATGCAGCTGGAGCTGTGCGTCAGGCGCTGGAAGCGCAAACCCTGTGAAGACCAGTGCGACGTTGCACGGATTCGCGCTGGCTTCAAAGAGCGAGAGCACGGCGGCACGCAAGATCATCTGTCCCGTCGAGGAAACACAGATGAGGCAGCAGAAGAAGAGAGAAATCAGCTCAAGCAGGACATCAGCTCTCAAATCGCCAATCGCTTCCCGACGGCGGTGGACAGGCTCACCGCGGGCTTGACGAACATTTGGGAGGCCCAGGACGACCTCGGGCAGATGCAACATCCGCGGTACGAGCAGGCCGGCTCCCTCTGGAGAAGCTGCTCCGACAGGAGCAGACACTGCATGAGCGCGACGCGCGGGAACCGCAGCAGGGTCTGCAGCGCAGCATGCTGCACTGCACAGGAAATACGGTGGGCACATCAGACAAGTTGTCTTGCGGTGGAAAATATTGGGGCACGTTCGTCGTCGATCTTTCAGGGTACTCATATGCACAAGGAATTCTGTGGGTCCCTGGGGTCTCTGGAGGAGTTCAAAACGTTCCGAGGCGCAACAGCTGTGCCTACTGTACTCGGAGGTGGCTGGGCAAAAGATGGAGCAGGAGATGGAGCACGTCGTGAGGGGCCTGAAGCGCAACTTGCAGCGGGTACCGCAGAGATGGCGCTGCACAAGCGCGCAGCGCAGGACAGGTCCAGGAAGAGTCAGGAGCACCCCGAGCGGGTGGAGTCGCAGGCTGACCGATTCGCGGTGGTCTCCGCGCAGATGAACTTCGGGTTCAGGTGCGCCGTAGGATGGCCGCGCGCAAAAAAAACGGGTCGGCGCGAGGGCGGTTCTTGGAAGTCGGGGGGCCTGCTGAGAAGGGCCCGGCGGCTTCTGAAAGCGTCGGCCTTCTTGGAAGCCTCCGGGCCCGTCTGGGAAGGCCCCCGCCCTCCAAGAAGACCTCCGCCTCCCCAGAAGGCCGCCCCCCTCGTGGCACACGCCTGTGCCGTCGCTCGGACGTCCATTTCCCATGCATTTTTACCTAACAGCGTTTGCTGATAGGTTTCTAGTAGGCTCAAAAGAGAACATCATGACTCCTCAGGGGGGTCTGGGCGGGTGCCGGGGAGGAGAACCGGGAATCGTTTTTCGCCAACAGTCACACACTTCGTGCTCTTCGACCTCCCAGAACTCCATTCCCGGGCCACATTCTGGAGAACCGGGAACAGAGCCGGGCTCGCTTTTCGTCAACAGTCACACACTTCGTGCTCTTCGACCTCCCAGAACTCCATTCCCGGGCTACATTTTGAGTGCCCGGAGCCAACTGTAGGCCACTTCGTGCTCTTCGAGTTCCCAGAACTCCATTCCCGGGCCACATTTTGGATGCCCGGAGCCAACTGTAGGCCACTTCGTGCTCTTCGATTTCCCAGAACTCCATTCCCGGGCCACATTTTGGATGCCCGGAGCCAACTGTAGGCCACTTCGTGCTCTTCAAGTTCCCAGAACTCCATTCCTGGGCATGATTTTGAATGCCCGGAGCCAACTGTAGGCCACTTCGTGTTCTTCTAGTTCCCAGAACTCCATTCCTGGGCCACATTTTGAATGCTGAGGCAGGCTGATGCTGCGGCCGAGGCAGGCTGAGGCTGAGGCAGGCTGAGGCTGAGGCCGAGGCTGAAGGCAGACTGAGGCTGAGGCTGAAGCAGGCTGAGGCTGAGGCTGAGGCTGAGGCTGAGGCTGAGGCTGAGGCTGAGGCAGGCTGATGCTGAGGCAGGCTGAGGCTGAGGCTGAGGCTGATGCAGGCTGAGGCTGAGGCAGGCTGAGGCTGAGGCCGAGGCTGAAGGCAGACTGAGGCTGAGGCTGAAGCAGGCTGAGGCTGAGGCTGAGGCAGGCTGAGGCTGAGGCAGGCTGAGGCTGAGGCTGAGGCAGGCTGAGGCTGAGGCTGTGACTGCGACTGCCGTTGCCGCTGCGACTGTCATCGCGAATGCGACTACGACTGCGAGAACAGCAGAATTCTACAACTGGATTTTCATCTGAATCTTAAGGGGAATGCTTTCAGATATGCTTCTACATATCGCTGTTAGGTTGCTTTGCCGGGATAATTCGGTTTCGTGCGTGTTTTTTTTGTTGTTCCATGGTCCAGGATGGTCCTCGATGGTTCTCGCCGGGGAAAAATGCACACGTCCGAGCGATGCCAAGCCCCTGTGCACGCCACCGAATCATCGGGTCCGCCGGGGAGGGGGCCAGGAAGAGGAGCGTCAGCGCGTCATGGCCCGGGGCATGCGCGCTGACGAGGGGGGGAGCAGGGGACGCATGGAAAGAAGAGCAGGGGGGGCATGAGACCCAGGAGACTTCACGACTCCGGCCATGATATCCACACACGCGGACACCTGGATCCCCACACCTTTGTGGGCCCCGGAAACGGCAGGGCCGTTTTTTCACCATTTCCGAAAAAATGTCCTTTGAAAATGGAAGCGGCAAAAAAAACGGCGACCGGAAACGGCCAAAAAACGGCTCCAGGATTGGACCCGGAGCCGGAACCGGTCAAAAAACGGCGACGGAACCGGTAAAAAAACGGCGTCGGAACCGGCGAAAAAACGGCAAAACGGAACCGGTAAAAAAACGGCCCTGTCGTTTCCAGGGCCCACTAAGCCCCACACCCCTCTTCGACACCTGGTTGCTTGGGGATCAGAACTCAGGCCTCCGGCGGCCGTTCGGGACGAGTCGGGCGGCCACAGAATTTTCTCGACGACGCGCAACTGCTGGAAAGCACCCCGAGGCGAGAACCAACAAAAAGCGATCCCGGCAAAGGGCTCAACTGTATGCAGGTGTGAATACCATCAGGCAGGTGGGACGAATGAAGAGGGAGCTCCCCATGGGGCTACGAAACTTGTAGGGGGTGTGCCGTAACGGGCGGGTGGACGCATGCGATCTTGTTGCAAAAGAAGCCTTGGGTGGAGCTCCACGTGGGGCCACAAAACGTCAGAGGGGCGTGCCGAATTGGAAAAATGGGAGGAGGCACGCATGCCAATCAAGAGCCTTCGGTGGAGCTCCCTTTGGGGCCACGAAGCGTGTGAGGGGTGTGCCGAAGTGGTCACGGGGCGCATGCGAGCCCCCGCCGTCAGAGCCTTCGGTGGAGCTCAATGTGGGCCCACGAAACGTGTGAGTGCGCCCAATTGTTCACGGAACGCACGCGAACCCAACCTCAAAAGCCTTCGGTGGAGCTTCATGTGGGGCCACGAGCCGTGCGAGGGGTGCGCCGAAATGAGCGGGGGAACGCATGCAAACCCTGCCGCAAAAGCCTTCGGTGGCGAACGAAACATGTGACAGGTGCGCCGAAACGGACTGGCGTGTGAGGGGTGCGCCGACATGGTGCGGGGGAATGCATGCGAGCCTCCGCCGCAAGAGCCTTCGGTGGAGCTCCATGTGAGGCCACGAAGCTTGTGAGTGGTGCGGCGAAATGAGCAGGAGGACGCATGCGAAACTAGTGACGGGTGTGCCGAAATGGGCGGGGGGGTGCGCATGCGAACCCTGCCACAAAAGCCTTGGGTGGAGCCCCCTGTGGGGGCCACGTAGCATGTGAGGGCTGTGCCGACGTGTCTGGGGGGGCGCATGCAAGCCCAGCCACAAGGGCCTTCGGTGAAACTCCCATTGGGGCCACGAAACGTGTGAGGTGTGAGCCGAAATGAGCGGGGAACGCATGCGAACCCTTCCACAAGAGCCTTCGGTGGAGCTTCCTATGGAGCAACGAAGCGCCTGAGTGGTGTGCCCATACAGACATGCGGAGGACGGAGGCAAGGATGAGAGGAGGGGAGGAGGTGAGGAGGAGGAGGAGGAGGAGGAGGAGGAGGAGGAGAAGGAGGAGACGAGGGGAGCTGCTGATTCAAAACGAGGACTCAACACCAGAGAACGGATGTAAAAACACATAGCCTGGCGAAGGGCCCAACCATCTACAGCTGCGAGTACCGCAAGGCAAATGATACGAAGGAGAGGGGCGATCAAACTACGAATGGCGTACGATATGGCCTCTCGTTCTAGGCAGCGCGCCACAGCCATGTGGATGCTGCCACTGGGGCCATCGGTGGAGCTCTCTATCGGGCCCCGCAGCGTGTGAAGGGTGCGCCAAAATGGGCCCGGATTCGCATGCGGGCGCTGCCACTGGGGCACTCGGTGGGGCTCCCTGAAGAACCACGGAACGTGTGAGTAGTGTGCCAAAACGGACCCGAGCCCGCATACGGGCGCTGCCAGCGGGGCTTTCGGTGGAGCCCCCTGTGGGGCCACGAGACGTGTGAGGGGCGTGTAAATACCACACGCGGGCGTTGCCCCTGGGATCCTCGGCGGAGCTGATTGCTCGAATCATGGAGATGACGATGATGATGATGCTGATGATGATGATGATGACGACGACGATGATGATGATGATGATAATGATGATGATGATGATGATGGTGATGATGACGATGATGGTGGTAATGATGACGATGATGATTATGATGGTGATGCTGACGATGATGGTGTTTGTGATGATGATGTTGATGATGATGACGATGTTGATGATAATGATGATGAATATGATGAGGATGATGGTGATGAAGAAGAAGGTGATGCTGATGATGATGCTGGCGATGGTGATGCTGATGATGATGCTGCTGATGTTGATGATGCTGATGATGCTGATGATGACGATGCTGATCATGGTGATGCTGAGTATGACGATGATGATGGTGACGACGACGATGGTGATGATGATGGTGCTGATGGTGATGATTACGATGGTGCTGATGATGATGCAGCTGGTTGTGATGATGCTGGTGATGGTGATCATGATGATGATGGTGATGATGATGATGATGGTGATGATGATGGTGATGATGATGACGATGATGATGATGATGATGATGATGATGATGATGATGATGATGATGATGATGATGATGATGATGATGATGATGATGATGGTGGTAGTAGTGGCGGTGGTGCAGGTGGTGGTGGTGGTGCTGGTGGTGGGCAGGGTGCTGCTGATTCAGAACGAGGGCCTCAAACCACAGGACAGTATGGAACGGCTCCCCCAAAGAGCCAAAACAGAAGAGCCCCAGGTCCTCGCCCCCCTCTGGGACACCCCCGAGACGGTGCGAGGGGCGGGCAAGTGGTGGTGCCGTGAGGCGCGCGCGGCCGCGGAGGAGGCGTCGAGCAGCGGCCTCTGCGCAGGAAGAGAGCGATCTCATGCTGCGATTGGCCAAGGATGCGTTCCAGGAGTTCGCCCAGCGTTCGCCGGCCGAGGGCCGGAAAACTCCACAAGGAAGCTGGAAGCACACCCACACACACATGGTTGGGGCATTCGGAGGAGCTCCATATGGGCCTACGAAACGTGTGAGGGGTGTGCAGAACTGGGGCAGGGGGGCGCATGCGAACCCTGCCACTGGGGCCTTCGGAGGAGCTCACTATGGGGCCACGAAAGGTGTGAGGGGTACATGGTGCGGGGGGACACATGCGAACGCTGCCACTGGGACCTTCGGTGGAGCCCCCTATGGGGCCACGGAGCGTGTGAGAAGTGTACCAAAATAGTGCTGGGGGACGCATGCGAACCCTGCCACTTGGGCCTTCGGTGGAGCCCCGTAATGGGGCCACAAAACGTGTGAGGGGTGTACCGAAATGGGGCGGGGGGACGCATGCGAACCCTGCAACTGGGGTCACTTGGAGCCTGCGGAGGAACTTCCTATGGGGCCACGAAACGTGTGCGGGGTCTACCGAAGTGGTAGACAGATGTGGAGAAGAGAAGGATGGAGGGGAGGGGGGAGGAGGAGGAGGAGGAGGAGGAGGAGGAGGAGGAGGAGGAGGAGGAGGAGGCGGAGGAGGAGAAGGAGGACGAGGAGGGGGAGGGGGAGGAGGAGGGGGGGGAGGAGGAGGAGGAGGAGGAGGAGGAGGAGGAGGAGGAG